TTTATTAATTAAATAAATAGTTAAAATAAAATATTTAAATATATTTATTTTTTAAAAAATTAAAAATAAAAATAAGTTAAGTAATGTAATCCGTCTTTATCTTTTAAAATAGGAGGGATTGAAAATAAAAGAAGAGAAGGAGCTTCGTCTCCCTCCATCTCTTTTCCCTTCATTAAAATTTGTTATTCAAACAGAAAAAGGTGCTCTCTTCCCTCTCACTCTCCGCTCCTTCCTCGATCCAAACAGAGTGTAAATGCTTCCTAAGCTCTTGTGCATTCTCACAAGACACAATCTTAGGGAAAATATTATTTGTTATTGTACCATACATAAAAGAAAGTGCTCTATATGTACTTGCCTCATACTCTGTATTTCTTTTCATTTGTACCACTGCTAGGTTGTCTTGTGGAAAAAGAAGTTGGAAACCATGCTCGATGGCTTCCTAGACATCATTGCCTTTGAGGAAAGCTTTCATTCTAACAGCCCAAAATTTATAATTCTCTACATTGAACATTGGAGGAGAAGAAAATGAATTTGTTGATGAAGAGGACATTCTGGAATGTTGTTGAAGAACAATAATCTCTCCCTCACTTGTTGCTCACGTTTCACTCTCTCACACCACTCAAAACTTCCTCACAAATCCCTCAAGAACTATAAGCTTTGATACCAATTTGTAAAAGTAAAGATGGAATACGAGTAGAAATAAACATAAACTCAAGTTTAACTTGAATTGGCATGACCGTTAACCTTGATATTGAAAGAACATAAACTGATATTTCTTGATATAATTCAAGCCAACATAATCATACATATCAATTTTTCAAAGAGAAGTAACTTATACATAGCAGCTGCTAAAAACATAAAGAAGTTACGAACTGCAAAAATAAACTCCTACACCACTAAGCAAAATAAACTGTGTAACTGCCACCACATTAGTTTAATAGACGTGATCTCATACATTAACAGAGGGAATGGATGGAGGACGAGGGACTTCAACAGCTCCTTCTAGCATCTGTGAGACTCTCTTCATGGTGGGCCTTAAAAACGGATCATCTTGAATGCACCAAATGGCAATCATCACAAACCTCTCTACCCTTTTAATGTCCTGAATAGCTTCTTCATCCTCCTGAACTAGCAGGTATAGTCTTCCTTCTTCATAGCAATCATATGCCCAGTCAGCCAATATCATTTGGTTTTCATCCTCTAAATCTTGCTCAAAGCTCCTCCTACAACAAATGAGCTCTAGCAGCAGAATCCCAAAGCTGTAAACGTCAACCTTGATTGTGACAGGCTTGTTCTTGAACCACTCAGGGGCAACATATCCTTTTGTTCCCCTAATTGCTGTAACAGTTCGAGTCTGGCCTGTCTTCAAAAGTTTTGCTAATCCAAAGTCAGAAATTCTTGCTGTCAAGGAGTCATCTAGTAGAATATTTTGAGGCTTGATGTCACAATGTATGATCTGATTGCTGCACTCCTCATGTAAATAAACAAGCCCTCTTGCAGTTCCAAAAGCAATTTGAGCTCTTTGATACCAACTGGGCCTTAAATTTCCAAAAAGGTAAGATGCTAAAGATCCATTACTCATGTATTCATACACCAAAAGCCGATGTTGTCCCTCATTGCAGAATCCTAGCAGCTGAACTAGATTCTTGTGATTTGTCTTGCTAATTGCACGTATTTCTGCTTGAAACTCCAACTCACTTTCTGTCATCATCTTGTCCAACTTTTTTATGGCAACCATATTCTTGTTACCAGTGTCAAGAACTCCTCTGTAAACTGTTGAACAAGCACCTTTTCCAAGTTCTTCTTTGAATTTATTTGTAGCTTCCTCAAGCTCCTTGAATGGGAAGCTTCGCAAACTTGTGCCTTGGTTTGCTCTAGAAGGTTGAAGCATCCTTCTTTTCCAGTAACTCAAGCGTGAAACAAGCCAAAGAGTAGCTATCAACAGAACAAGGTTAAAAAAGAATGAGCTACTTAAGAGCATTGTAAGAGCAAGAATTAGAGTCGACCTGTCCTTATTTGAACCAAAGGTTGAACCCTCTCTTGAACTCCCGTCAATTGAACCCTCCCTCGAACCTTTGTCAGGAGATTTGTTTTTTGAATTGTCTTTCCTCATTTTGATCAATGTTTTTCCACCAAGGCCAGGATCCATTCTCCCATTAGAGAGAGGAAATTTCTTCATTGTACATTCATCATCTTTAAAGACTGCAAGAGGACAAAAGCAATCAGTCAAGCACGTTTGTCTGCACCAGTCCTCAGTAACCCCTTTGAAATATGCATAATCTGTTTGTGGCCAATCCATGTTAGCCATCTCTCTCAACTCAAAATCATCTGCATCATGGTTTCCATTGCAACCTAGTGTGTCAAAATCTTGTTTGCACCCTCTCATCTTATCATCTGGATCAAAGAATGAGTATCCAGGTGGGCAACTGCATTTAGGCCTCTGATCATCTCCAAAACTACAGTAGCTGTTGTATCCGCAAGCACCACTACCTTGTGTTTCCTTAATGTCGCAAATATTCGAAGGTTCAGACCCCTGCATGGACCAGTTCATAGGATTTCTAGTAATACCATTTGTGGTCTTTGGATAGACATAATGCCTGAGGACCCCATCATACTCTAGGATTGCTCGCTGGTAATAGTTCGTAGATGAAGTTTCTTTTGATGTAAAAGAGTAGAGTATGCTTCCATTGTTATCTGCTAGGTAGATATAGCCAGACTGGTTGAAGACAAACTGGTAGCCTTGGTTTACAGTATTGGATGCCCAATAAGCTCTATTTATTAAATCCACTGTGTCCCATAGGAAGCTAGTGACGTAGAATACGAGATTTCCATCCCCTTGCATTAGGAAACGAAACCTTCCCCTTGAATAATTCTTCTCTGCATAACGGGCGACAAGTTTGCTGTCTCGCTTCATTATCTGTGTAGGTACTATTGTGTCAGTTGGCTGATTAAAACTCTCCCACAAGTTGGAGTCCTGGCTCACCAGAACAAAATTTCCTGTGTCGAACATGGCTGCGTATAAAACGTTACCAGAGCCAGTCAATTGTGCATCCCATAGTTTCTCACCTCTCGCGTCAGTGAGTCTGAACTGGCCATCTTCTGAAAGTTGAATTTTGGATCCTTCTTCCACCAGCTTTTCACCATCGATGGGTGGTGACCAAATAATGGTTTTTTCAGGTATGTTGTCGAACCATATGGCAAGCAAGAACTCACCAGCTCTTATTTGTTGGAATCCAAATGCGAAATCACCAGATGGAGATCTCCAGGAAGAATTCATATTGAGTGCTGCAGTTAATGAGGAGCCCAACTCTATTTTCTGATATGTTTGAGCTACAACATAAACTGGCAGCAGGAAAATTAGAATGAGATAGAGAAAATATGGAGAAGAAGAGGCCATGAATGCAGGTGCTATTTCTCGTGTGACAAATCAAGGCTCTTGCTGAAGGTAAATATATAGCAAAAGAAAAAGTAGCTAGATTGTTAAATTCAGGTCTTCCAAACTATTTTTCAAAGCTAGGACCAGGGGCGGAGGCAGAAATTTTTTCCAGGGGCGGAGGCTAGATAATTTTTCATATACTAATTTGCAAGATTTTCAAATTTCAGGGGCGGCGAGCGCCCCCCTCGCACCCCCTGGCTCCGCCACTGGCTAGGACTTTGAATGGTATTCGGCTCTATTCTTTATAGCTGACTGATAATGGACTCAGTGATCCTAGACTGTGCATTTGCGTATCCTGATTCCTGAGGGACTGAAATGGGCTCAGATTTTCACAAATTGTTTCTAGAAAATGAAAGAAAAGATTGTTAAAGTGCTGAATTTCATAGAGGGTGTGAACTGGGAGATTTTTCTCAGGCAAGGGTTGATTATGTTGATTTCTAACCATTCAACAAAATGCAGTCATTAGTACGACCAGCCCGTATAACACGCTAATTAATCCTAGAAGACTTGGAAAATGTCATATTCTGTTGACTGGGCAGCCACTCTTGATGTATAAGTGTATATCTTAACAATATCTTCTGATATGTTTGAGCTACAACAGAAACTGGCAGCAGGAAAAGTAGAAAGAGATAGAGAGAATATGGAGAAGAAAAGGCCGTGAATACAGGTGCTATTTCTTTTGTGTGATAGATCAAGGCTCTTACGGAAGGCAAATATAGAGCAAAAGAAAAAGTAGCATGTGGGAAAATTCAGGTCTTCCAAACCATTTTTCCAATCTAGGACTTTGAATGGTATTCGCCCCCATTCTTTATGGCTGACTGATAATGGACTCAGTGGTCGTAGACTTTCCATTTGCGCATCCTGTGGACTAAAGTGGGCTTAGATTTGCACAAATTGTTTTTAGAAAAGGTTAAAATCCATTTTGGTCCCTCTACTTTAATAGAAAAGTAATTTTTAGTTTCTCTATTTAAAAAAGTCCATTTGTAGTCCTTAAACTTTATTATCTATCACCTTTTTAGTCCCTCTAATTTTTTTTACATAAATATCACATTAGATAATAGAAATTTTACAGTATTGAGGCTAAAAAGAGCTTTTTTAAAGTAGAGGACCAAGAAAGAGTTTTTTAGTCTTTTTTTAGTAAATTTATTTTAGAATTTTTGTTATCTAACGTGTTATAAATATAAAAAATAACAAAGGATTATAAAGAGACTGGATAACAAACTTAAAAAACTAAAAGAGATTTTCTTTAAATAAAAAAATTAAAAAAAAAAGATTTGTTAAAATAGAGGAACCGAATGAGATTTTAACCTTTACAAAATGAAAGAATAGATTGTTAAAGTGCTGGATTTTGTACAAGGGTTGATTATGTTGATATCTAACCACTCAACAAAATCAGTCATTAGTACGACAAGCCATATAACAAGCTAATTTATTTATTATTTATTATTTATTATTTTTTTTAACATGTGGAATTTGGGGAAAATGGTAAGTTTATAAGTAATTGGTAATAATTGGTAAGACTAGAACTCTTAAGCAAAGTAGT